GAATTTGAGGGCTATGATGACAATTGAATAGTCAATTATTCGAATGACTTTTGTCAAACCACAATGGTTAGATATTGTTTTAAACTTCGAAAATCGAGCAACTAAATTTAGTTGAGTTTGGTGTTATTTGGTACAAACATGTAGTATATTAGTATGGAATTACCTAATACATTTTATAGACGCTTTTGGTCTATATTCACTTAAATGTTTTTTTTATAACTTAAATGTTAGTACGTAGTCAAGCGTTCTGTTTTCCTATTCCAATGTATTAGTATTAGTCTTGTATTTTCGTATTCTTAGATTTCTAATTCTATCAGTTTATTCCTTAGCCTCGATTACTGTATTCTTTTGTTTTTGTTCTAACTTGTTGCTATTGATGTCTTATCATTTGTTTTAGGCTGAGGTTCAATCGAAAACATCTTCTCTATCTTTTCAAGGTATGGGCAAGATTTGCGACACACTACCCTTCTCGAACCCCACATTTGGGATTATACAGGGTTTGTTGTTGTTGTTCAAGAGACGAAAATTACCTCCAACGACCCAGTGGCTAGCTTAATTAGCAAAGGTTGATGGACTTGTGTCTTTAGGCCACAAGTTCACATTTTTCTTAGTTATTGGCAAGTTTCAAGGTCATTAAGGTCTGCGTACACTCTACACTCCATAGATCGCACTACAACATGGACCAATTGATTTCAAATTCAATCTCTGCTCGTTGGCATCTATTTCTGACTTTGTTTCATTAGAAAAAATAAGTAATCAAAACGCTTAGGGTTCTAAAATCAAAGTGACGGAGCACACAAAAGCACAAATATTGATAGGAGGGTGTGGTGGTCGAAAATAAGGATCTAATGTTAGTAGGTAGTTAAGTGTTTAGTTTTACTATTCCTAGTGTATTAGTATTAGTCTTGTATTTTCGTACTCTTAGATTATAATTCTATCAGTTGATTCCTTATAACTGTATTCTCTTGTTTTTGATTTAACTTGTCGCTATTGATGTCATTTGTTTTGAGCTGAGGTTCTACCGAAAACATCTTCTCTACCTTCTCAAGGTATGGGTAAGGTGAGCGTACACACTACCCTTCCTGGACCCCACTTGTGGGATAACACTGAGTAGTATGTTGTTGTTCAAGAGACAAAAATCACCTCCAACACCACTAGTGGTTAGCTCAATTAGCAAAGGTTAATGGACTTGTGTCTTAAGTCACAAGTTCAAGCCCTCAACCAAGTGAACTAAATCCACAATTTAAATAGAGAATGCTAAGAGAGGCGAACTTATCATCTTCTGAGTTTCGATGGTTACGATTAGCTCAATGTACTGGAAAATTTCACAGTCATTTAAGGTATGCGTACAGTCTAGCCTCCATAGATGACACATCAAGGTTTATTTTTGTATTACACAACCGACCAATTTATTTCAAATTCCATCTCTGCTCCTAGGCATACTTTGTTTCATCGGAAAAAATCAGTAATCAAAACACTTAGGGTTCTAAAATCAAAGTGAAGGAGCACACAAAAACACAAATTCAAGGGTTTAATTGAGTTATCGGAGTTAAAAATCACTAAAAAATTTCGAATGAAATAGTATGAAGATATGCGGCATACCTTTTTTGCTCCGTCGTTCTTCGCTGGCGTTCGGTTGATTGCAGACGGCGATGTATATCTGTTGACAAATGCCTTTCAAACTAATATTTGGGCAAAAACACAAATTCAAGGGTTTAATTGAGTTATCGGAGTTAAAAATCACTAAAAAAATTCGAATGAAATAGTATGAAGATACGCGGCATACCTTTTTTGCTCCGTCGTACTTCGCCGGCGTTCGGTTGATTGCAGACGGCGATGTATATCTGTTGACAAATGCCTTTCAAACTAATTTTTGGTTTACCAATGTGCCCTTTTCCTAGGTTTTTATTTTTATTTTTTTCATTCGATATTTGATAATTTTTTGAGATCCTATAAATTAGAATTTTTGTATGACTTAATAATGACGTGATCATTATTATACGTGACGAGCAATGACATGTGGAGATTTAAAATAACTAAGATATGATTCAGCAAAAGCGATAAGACTCACGACATACGAGCTTATTGAGGTTGGTTTTTTCTATATTTCGAAGATTCAAACTTGTAGTAACTAGCTCAACTCGTCTAGTCTCGAGATCGATTAAAATAAGCGTAAATATTTTTCAAAAAATACTTAAAATTCTTTCGTAATTACGTAATTTCACTTATAACACAAAATAACGTACTGAAACAACAACCATCCCAACAATCGAAAAGCAAGAATTTATTTCAATTACTTAGAACTCAAAAGTTTCGATTAAAAATAAATAAATATATATATATATATATATATATATATATATATAATATCT